CAGATGGCTCAGAAAATGCACACATCCAGTTCACTTTGACCTCAGTGAAATGGTCAGTAAATGACATCACTCTGCCAACCACAAAGAACGCCTGGCTCTCTGAAAAATATTTTTCAAAGCCCTAAGGAAACCTAAGCAGTCTCTTATTTTTTTTTCCAGTTTATGAAAATTGGATTCCTATAAAAGGGAAACCGGCCATTTTTACTGCAACAAAAACTGATTTGTAAAAGCTGGAAGCAGTTTAAAAATACTCTTAACATGAGGTTCTTGTTAGTCTTGAAAAGTAAGAGTTATAATAAAAAATCGGTCCAAAAATATGGTATGGATACATGGTATATAACAGGAAAAAAAGCTAGTCTTGGTCCTATTATTTTTAATTAGCTTCAATAGCAAGTTCCACTTTACTTTCTAACACCAGTTCAGATTTGGGGAAGGGAAGATTTACATTTGACACCCTGGGATCGGCAACTCCATAGCTAAGGCCCTGGAGCCCTAATGCATTTTGCATTAACTTTAAATGTCGGGAAATCCTGGCGCCAAGAAGTTCAAACCAATAGTGATACACGTCTAAAACCCAGGATTCTCTGTCAACTGCCAGTATCTATTTTATCAAACATGTAGTCTCTCTAGTAGAATGAGATAGATGAGTTTAACAGTTTTCACTGTTTCCAATTAAACTGCCTTGATGTATTACAAAAATGCAGGATTGCAGACTAAGAAGGACCCTTGAGTTGGATTTTAAGAAAAACACCAGTTTGAACTGTTTAAATCTTCTCATCTGGCTTGGTTTCTCAAATTTTAACACATTTGTCTTATTATTACACTTTGTCAATTTAGGAAAAAATTCATCCAATAATTAGAAAACAAAAAACCCTCATGACATACCAATTAGTAATGTATTCTTTACTTTGCAGGAACTTGAGATCATGTACTTGAGATCATGTGAATCTGCTCAAATTTTAAAGGTTCAAAAACCAGCAAAGACTGGCAACCACGAGAGCTGTCTGAGGAGCATGCCCCTTGGCACTGTCACGTTCTGTTTCATGTTTCATCCCACATACCACTGTCAGTCATATCATTAAAAACATTGGTAATGATAAAAATTCACATTTTGTACATTCATCTTTTATTATTCTTTTCCCAGATAACTTGGCTATGCTTATTTATCAAAGCCATATGATAAAGAAGCAGGGAAAGAATTTATAAGTCATATGGACCATTTTTCTGATTTAAGAGAAAAAAAAAGCTCTCAATAAATAGCATTTCCTCTTTTTACATGTATTTAGAGAACTAGTGTTTTCAATATTTAAGATCCCAATTAAGACATAATTCTTTTATAGATAGCTTAAATTCTTCATCATGTCTGTTTATTCTCACCTTCACAGGGGTGATGAGGAATAGGAATTCAACAATTTCTGCTTAACATTTCTTGAAATACAGTCCTATTTAAAAATCATTTAAAATAAAGAGCTTCAACAAAGTTTTAAGTCAGTGTTATTTAATCTAATGATTTTTAAATGTACCTACTGGATATCAGAAGCTGAAAGGTAGTCACTAAAATTTCATATCTGGACATTAAGTAGAAAAATTATCATAAGATATATGAATAATTATATAGCAATTTAAAATACTTGAACCGTTACAGAATTAAAAAATAAAAAAAGCCAGACCTAAGATCCATGGTCTTTTGGTATCAAAGATCACAGGAGTCCTACCAAAAGAAGCATAACTAACCAAAAATTATTGAGTAAATGAAAAAAAAAAAAAGCATATGATTCCAGAGTGGGTCAGTAAAACAGAAAGTGGAAAAGAACAATTATAAATATTTGGCTATACTTTATAGTCTGTATCTCTACTGTAACAATTTGGGGTCCCTACAAAAAAACTGATGAAACACATTGTAAATTATTTCATCTGGAAATAAAAAGTGATATAGTTATGTGATGTAAGGCCTGAAGGATTATAAAAGACAAGAGATGAAAGACTTAACTTTCTCAGAGGAAGTTTGTTTTTTAAAGGGCAAGCAATTTTCAAATCAAAATGATTATAATAAATAGGTTTCCCACTCTTTTGACTTGAAGAAGTCTAGTTAGTTTTACTAACTAATCTTAGGTCAACATTACTATGATGTGTCTTTTATGAAGTAAAAGATGCTACTTAAATATTTTGAGCAATGAAAAAGAACTGAAGGTTCTAAAAGGATTTTACCGAAGTCATTTAAAAGACTTATGAACTAAGCAATAAAATCCTGAAATCTTTGGATCTAATATATAATTTAGCTACTAAATTATTTTTTAAATATTTTTAAAATAAAATAACCATCTTGAAAATGAGAAATGAGAGATTTTGCTGAATTTGGCTCATGAAATTGTCATTTTGTATATTCAATTTTAGTGAAAAATGTTTAGTTTCTTTAAAGTCATAATATGTAAAAAATGAAAGCAAGTCTTCTTCAAAAAGTAATGCGTAATGCATAATCAGTAGCAGTTTGCTTTCTTTAGGTTGGCAGTATCTGAAGAAGGTACAAAAATAATGTTTTGCTCATAGTAAGACATAAATGAAAAGAATAATTTCATAATTACAATGGTAGAATCTTATAAATGCCATAAGCAAAATTATTTAATATACATATTGGATCATATACCCAAATAATTTCTTCCTTTTTTAATTAAATTTCAGAAGACATTTATCCAGTAAATTGTCATATGACATAGTACTTATAATGATTAAACAGAGCCTCTATTTGAATAATTAAGTAATCAAAAGTCATATGCTTTCTGGTATTTAACCTTGGTTAGTTTTTATTTCCTGAGGCAAGAAATGTCTTACTATGATAATCCAGCTTATTGATAAAACTGTTTCTAAAATGCTATTATTTATTTAAAGACCATTATAGAACAATGAACTAGGTACTTCATGTAATACTCCTATGTTTTTCTACCATGCTTTTAAACTCTGAGTCATAATCATCAATAAGTTGTGAAATCAACTTAGTGCGTGGCAATCTCCATTTAACAAATGAAAGGAATAAAACAACATGCCAGGGCTGGGGATGTGGCTCAAGCAGTAGTGCGCTCCGCTCGCCTGGCATGCGTGCGGCCCGGGTTCGATCCTCAGCACCACATACAAAACAAAGATGTTGTGTCTGCCGATAACTAAAAAATAAATATTAAAATTCTCTCTCTCTCCCTCTCTCTCTTTCTTTAAAACAAACAAACAAAAAAACCAATATGCCATTGTACACTGTAGGTATTAAGAGTGAATATTATTTTAAGAGATTTTGGTTAATTTATCATTGTGGAATTATAAGAATAATATCATTTTAAGAAATTTTTGTTTTACACACACGTATAGAGGTAGATACATATAAATAAATAAATGTGTATCTATGCTTGAGGCTGCAATATGAAAGGTACTTCTTTTTTGTTTATTTTTTTAATATTTTTTTTTACTTTATTTTATTTTTTTAGAGAGAGAGAGAGAGAGAGAGAGAGAGAGAGAGAGAGAGAGAATTTTTAGTATTTATTTTTTAGTTTTCAGAGGACACAACATCTTTGTTTGTATGTGGTGCTGAGGATCGAACCTGGGCCGCACACATGCCAGACGAGCACGCTACCGCCTGAGCCACATCCCCAGCCCCGTAATATTTATTTTTTAGTTGTAGATGGACACAATACCTTTATTTTACTTATTTATTTTTATGTGGTACTGAGGATTGAACCATATCCTCACCAGTGCTAGGCAAGCTCTCTACTGAGCTACAACCCCAGATCTCCTGTTTATTTATTTATTTTTGCAGTGCTGGGAATTGAACTCAGGGCCTTAAGCATGCTAGGCAAGTGCTCTACCATTGAGCTACACCTTCATTTCTCAACACTGAAAGTTTATTTCTTTTAATGTGGTCTGTGGTCAAGAAGGCTTAAAAGTCATGGGCATGTTTTGTTTCCTCCAAATTAGGATCATGTTATGCTGTGAAGAACAAAAGCTTTGGTGACTTACAGACCTCAAGATCAAATTTTTGCTCTATAATACTACCTGTGTGAGTTGGTTACTTAAATATAAAATTTACAGCTTTGACTCTTTATTTGTAGAACAGATATAATTCTGCTTTAAAATGTTGGTGTGAGGTTAAAATAAAAAAATGAATGTTAGTAAAACAGATTCTCCATAACAGATCATCATTAGTGGTTGCAGCAATTATTATAACTGAATTAAAATAGCTTCTTACAAGTAGTCATAATAAATTGGTCACACTGTAGTTTGTTCATTTAAAAAATACATAATGTAATTCTCATATAGAAAACATACAATTTTAGAAGCAGAAATTAAATCCATAATTTAAAAAAATATAGTTTTAAAGAAAAATAAGATCATACCTATTCACTAAAGTAGCTTAATATGAAATTTCAACAGTCAGTCTGAATTAAAATACTGTACCTCTAGGCATAGTATAAAGGGGAAAATATTGTTTACATTTTTAAAGCCAGACTTAAAAAAAAATCTATGCAACATTAGTAATGAAGCTGGATATCAGCTAAGGGAAACTTTGTAGTAACTGTAAAACACTGGCTTGTCAAGTATTTTTTCCTTAAATATTTTACTTAATTCCACCTATGACAGAAAAGTCTTCAATTTAGTCAAAGCATCCACTTTTTAATACGCATGAATTGTTGTTAAAATATACATCTTGTCTTCTTATTTTATGGGCTTTGAGAAGTGCTCAGGAAAGAGTGTGTACTCATTAACTTGGCTAAAGTACTGTCTGTTTCTATATCTTCCAAAATGATGAAGTATATATATTTTTTCAAATCTGTAATCTCCATTTTTCTACACAAAAAATGTGAATTTGAAAATTACTTTAAAATCAAACAAACATGTTCTTGAAAAGTTTGAAGATTTTCCCCCCAGCTCTTAATGACAAAGAAAATGAGGAGTGAAAAGAATTCTGTTTTTTCAAAGGAAACACCCATACATCAGATTTTTCTTGGAAGACTGTTTACCTGCCAGGAAATGAATGCTGCCCAACTACGTCTCCGTTTTGAAGATGATAATCGTTGAAGAAATCTGGACTTATGGCTCCTTCAGAGGCAATTAATCCATCTAGATAGAAGAAAAATGGTATTTGTGAAATGTATTTGTAAGGAATAAAAAGGAAACGACCCTATCAAGCAACACATTAAGAAAATAACCTGTATATTTAATCTGAAATAAAATATTAGCAGGTTAGCATGTCATGCTGTTCTCTCTATGAGTATTCATAGAAGATCACACATATCAAGTTTGTTCAATAGTTCTGCACAATAACTCAATTTATTGAGCATCAACTATGTGCAAGGTAATACTAGCATAGGGATGGATAAGATAGTCTCTGCCTTCAAGGGTTTACAGTCCTGTGGAGAAGACAGACAGGAAGAGGTAAGGAGGTGAGGCAAGGGGTGGAGGCACAGTAAGAACAGTCCACGCTAAGCAAACAGCATCACCAGGCAAAAGCACTGAACAGCACGGTGTTTTGTAACAGAGCAATACTTGAGTACATTTTACATTTTATACCAAGACAGCTTCAATTGTGTATCATGATTAGGGAATTAGATATATCAAATAAGTGAATCTCTAAACAATCTCTAAACAAATTTGACAATTTAAATGACCAATGTTAAAACACACACACACAAATTTATTAGAAATCTTCATAAATACAGTTTATACTCCATGTGTTCTTAGAAGGATTCTATATAAAATGTAAATACTTCTTAGTGACTTGATTGTTATTATTATAAATATCATTTATTACACAATAATGCCCTAAGGTTACCAAATATGTTTGACTTGCATTGCTAAAAATGGCTTTCTATTACTCATTTTTTGAGCTCTTTGTTTAAAAGTGCTTCCTTTCTTAAATCTTCCTTTCTTAAATCTCCACCACACTATTGATAAATCTGGCACACAGTAGGCAAATTACTCAGTTACCAGCTGATTATTTTATACCTAACACATGCATAATAATACTGGGATAGATCCTGTGGGAAATATAAAAATTATAATACATAACCTCTGTTTAAAAATATAATAATATAATTTATTAATAAATAAGATACAACAAAAGTAGACATATGAAATGAGTATTAGAGGCAATAAAAGCTCTGGAGGGATTATTGTGTTTTATGGGGTTTTAGAAAACCCTACCTGGGGAGAGGTGGGGCAGAGTTGTAAATGATTGGAGTCTTGAAACACAGGTAGTATTTAAATGAAAAATCTGAGGGAAAGGGTATTAAATATCAAGTATATGGTAAACAAAGTAACAGTGGGCGAATGAATAAGTGAGGTTATTTGTGTTTCCATTAGACTCCCTTACTACTCATTTGGTACACATATCCATTTGTGACACATCGTATATTGATGACTATGATTATTAGTTAATTATTATTGTTGAATTGTTAATGGATATCTTTTGTATTAATCTTATTACTTTACTAAATACAAAATACTTGAGCTTCCATTAAAAGTGTCAGTAATGTTTAGTTCAGTTTTTATGTCTGAAAGTTAAAGATTCTATAAGTTAAAAGACCTCATAAACCCTGAAAAACTTCAAAAAAAAAAAGAATTTATTGGAAATGCCAAGATACCATACACTGAGAGTGAAGCTGTTATGAATAATTTTTTAAAACCCATTTCATATGTATCTAAGGTTTTGTGAAAATGTGGCTAAAATTAACAAGTTGAAGATTAAAAAATTAAAATAACTGTTAAATTAAAACTAAATAATTGAGGATCAAGTTTTAATAAACCTGCTAATTTGAGAGGATCAAAGGTATGTAAAATACAAATGTGGAATCAAAGGTATTCCAAACATTGAAAATGAATGCAAAAAATGTTCTTTATGCCAACAGAATAGAAGCTTTTAAAACTCAGAAACATAGTATTTTGAGATATAAATACAAACAAGTGAAAAGATGGTCTGTATTTATGAAATACAAACTACTAAACTGAGTCAGATTAGGAAGAAATTAAGTTTAAAAACTGATCAAATTCTCAAAATCATATCTTGTTTCAGAGTTCCTATCATCTTAAAAGAAAACAATGAGTAGCAAAAGGATAAATGGTGTACAGGGAACTTTTACAAACCAGGACATCGTCAAAACATAGTTCAAACTGAAAATGCTTGAGGTTACGTACTGTTCAGCCAGATATTTCATAAACAAAGAATACAACTAGTCTAATAATATAATAAGCCTGATCTTATATAAATAAAAAAGTAAATTTATACTTTTGAAATTTATTTTTATTACTCCCAGGGCACTGCAGCTTAAATAAACTGTAGCTTTCATGGTGTTAATTCACCCTTGACAATGGGCACTCTTTCTTCACTAAAACAAGGTATAAAAGTACCATTAAAGTCTCATCTCACATACCCCCAACTTCTTTGGAAATATCTGATTCTTAACATTTTGCAACCAAAATTATTTCTTTTAGGGAAATACCAAAAATTCTATCTTCTTGGTTACGCTGATATACATAGGAGTGTCCTTTTTAAGTTCCATGTTGTTTCAATGATAACAACAAAGATTTAAAGAATTTTATACAACATTTAAATGGCTAGAGAACAAAAGGAAAACATGCAATACACCACAGCACTCTAAGCTGTACACTTACACTTGGGTTATTAAATTACATGAATCGCCTAGTTATAGAACACATCAATGACGACACGCCTTTCTGAAATCTCCTAGTGATGATTGAAAATAAGACAGCTATGAACAAATGAAGTATAAACTGGAACAGTGATGAAATCAAAGCACATATATCAACTCTTTGATTTTGAAAGCCAGTTAAAAAAATCATTGTGAATACAAGTAAAAAATTTTAAAACTCAGTATCTTCTAATTTATTGTTACTAAAATAAACTTTAGACTGTGATTTTTACAACAATCTTGAGACAAAAACAAACTGTTTTAAGCTGCGTATTCTAGGAATATATTTACATGCTAAGAATAAGATTCTCTGTGATGGATAATAATAATAAAAAAGGAAAAAGTCATTTATAAATATGTACAGCCTTATAAATTATAATATACTTTCTCTATAGTTAAAAAGTACCAAAGAAAACAGCCTTACTTTCATAACAAAGGAAATTAATCAATGAATATAATTTTAGACTTTAGGAAAAAATACTGGAACTAAAGGAGATGCTAGGTTCACAATACCAAGATTTTTTTTTCTTTTCTTTTCTTTTGGCACTAGGGTTGAACCCAGAGGTGCTTTACTCCTGAGCTACATCCTGAGCCCTTTTACTTTTTATTTTGAAACAGGGTTTCATTAAGTTGCTGAGGCTGGCCTTGAACTTGTGATTCTCCTGCCTTAGACTCTTAATTGATGAAATTATAGGTGGAAGCCAACATGCCTGGCAACTAAGATTCCCTTCTAGAGAAAAAAAGACAAAGGAAACCTAGATATATTTTGGCTGATATTTAACAGTTTGCAAACACAGAGGACAATACACATGACTAGAAAGTAACATATATCATCTCATTTTAAAATAAAACATAAGACCCAGGGAATAATAGACCATGTAGTTTAATCTCTGTGGCTAAAAAGTTACTAGAGCTACTTTTAACAGAAGCAGCCTAAATTTTCATGGAGACTTAGGGGTTTAATAAGATAGTTCAAACTTCAAAAGTATATGTAGTACTACAAATTCATCTGATGTTTCTGAGCTATGACAGCACACAATAAATAAAAAGGTACTGATGTTATCTAGATTTCCATGAGAAACATCAAGAAATGATACATTCATTTAGCCTGTGGATTCAGGGAAAATGAACTAGGTAAAATGATTCATGAACTAAAAAAATAGCTTGCTGTGAGAACTGAATTTCTACATTCAAGGTATAAAATTTCTGTCAAATGCCTACCATATCATCAGGCTAAGGTTACTAAAAAAAACATATTCAGGATATCTAATGATACTATTTCATCCCTCAAAAGTATTTAAATTTACTTATTTTTCCATCAGTTACTGCGTTTCTAAACTTTGGTATATAAAAATATATGTAATTCAGTTTTTCCACAAACTTACAAATTACACATTTTTGTTATAAAGTAACAGAAAAATGTCAATAATTTTCATTTTAAGAGGTTAATTTAAATGAATTAATTTTAGAATGTGATATAATTAAAAAATATGTTCTAAAATTTTAATTAAAATATCAAAATTGAACAGTGGGGTGCTTGATAGTTTCATTCAACTTTGCAAACTGGTAACTGATTCACATTGTCAGGTACCTATCAATTTTCAAAGCAAGAAAATTGATTCAGAGAATATTCTGATTCCTATAAACAAAAAAATTCTTATATATTTTACTTCATGAATACAGAATATGTAGGGAACAATAGCTACTCGCTATTACTGAACTAAGAAATTCTAGTTGGTTGAAATTAATGATATGGTCCATCTGGTTTGAAACCCAAAGCAGCATTTCAAAACTATACTGTAAAGTTCTGTTAGGAAGAAATCTATCAATTTTCCAAGTACTTATATAATACTGCATAATAATTGCAGATTTTATGACAATATTTTTTTGCAATATTTTTTAGAAAGCTTCACATAATGTGTGACCATTATGTGAAGCTTTCTAAAAAAATTGTTCTGGTATTACTTTAAAATAATTTATTACTAAACTATCTTCAGTGCAAGATTAGGATGAATGGAATACTCATTAATATGTTCATGTGGTGGTGACAATTATGTGGTGAAATATGGTTAGGCATAAATTTTCCAGGATTCATGTATCTACATCAAATATAAAGATAATATATATTGCATAACACCCATATGAAAACATATGGATGAATATGTGAATAGTACTAGTGATTAGATATGATGTTATTTTTTAGTGATTACAGGTGATGGTAATTTATACAATCAAAATTCACTGATCACACACAAATAGGTCTTATTAATACATGTAAAACATTTGTAAAATTTACATTGAGAGTACTTAGCAAATTTATGGTAGGAACCCATAGTAGGAAAAATAAAGAGTGGGTTATTAATTCAGATATAATTACTTTAATGCTTTTTTCTTTGTTGTTAGTGTTCAAACCCAGGGCTGAAAGCACTATACCACTGAGGTATATCCTTAGCTCTAATGCTTTTTATTTCTTCGCTAGAAATCCTTTCCTTCCTCTTTTCAATTAAATGATCTCAATGGAGTAATAGTAATATTGACAACAGTGCAAAATACTGAAAGCCACAATATGCAAAATATTACCCATCTTAGTTCCAGATTCATCCCTGGAAAAAGGCAGCATGACATAATCAACAAGTTATAATATACATAAGGTTCATGTAAATATTAAATTTTACCTTGAAAACATCAGCAGAGTAAGGAAGAAACCATTGCTATAAAGTATTTAAAAGTTTTTCCAATACTCAACAAGTAGTTTATTTTTTGAAACGATAGCAAAATTAAACTATTAAGATTAAATACATAGGAAAACAAAATATAAATTAGTAAGTTGTACATTTAATAAACTCAGAATAGAGGAAAATGATTGCTACATTTTGAAACAGAAGTTAGAAATCTGGACAATGTCAGTTTAAGTGAAACATTCTAGAAAGTAATCTAAGAGCTGCCCACTCTTTTTAAATGGAGATCATAAAAAAGACTAAGTAGGAAAAATTGAAGGTGAATTGCTAAGTTTGTTTTGTGTACATATATGTTACACCTGAGGTTATTAGCAGAAGACCAATTATGTTAAAAATGCTTACAAACTTGGAAATGTGCAAGATTGGCAGACCAAAATCTGTATTTATGGCACTGGGACCAACAGTTTACTTTGGCTATCATCCTACCTGAGCTGTAGAAAAGGTCAGGTCTTTCCAGAATATCTCCGTCATGAATGTATGGCTCAATTCTATCATCACCATACAAGTACTGCTCACTCTCATCCATCTGGCGGCTCTCCACCATCTCTAGCCACTGAGAGTTATGCCAGCGAAACTTCTCACTCTGAATTTTCTTAGCCCATTCTTCATCATATTCCTATTGAAAGCAAATATTCAACTATTACTATATTAACTCAATACTTGGTATTCAATAGCAATACTTATATCTCACAAGTAAGGAACTTTTAGAACTGTTTATTTATTTATTGCACTAGGGATTGAACCAGAGTTGCTTAACCACTGAGCCACATCCTCAGCCTTTTAAAATATTTATTTAGAGAGTAGGTCTCGCTGAGGTGTTTAAGGCCTCACTAAATTGCTGAGGCTGGCTTTGAACTCAAATCCTTCTGTCTTAGTCTCCTGAGCCACTAGGATTACAGGCTCGAGTCTCTATGCCCAGCCAAGAATTTTTAGAACCTTCATTTGGGTCAGAAGGCACATTAAAAATACCTGTTCAGAATTATTTTACATAATAGCCAAAGTCTCTTTGGATTAACAATCACTAATGACAATGAGAAGCACTGGAAGAATTTAAAGTTCACAAATTCTTCTTTAAATATTATCTAAATATTGCCAAAATTTAAATAAACAACCAGAATTTTGCTTTCCATGGATTCTTGTGGCTATAATTATTTGTGGCACTAATGACAGGTGGCTAACATGACCTCTTTTGATATATTTTTTAGTCTAGATAATACTATAGGAAGAAAGCACTATTAAAGCACTGCTTCTAACTACTGAAAATAAATACTGCTGAAAATAATTACTACAGAAAATAAATAGCATTGCTGAATTTAATTTTGCTCAACCACAAAATAATGTTGTTTTACTTAAAATTATTTGTCAGGGTCACTGTAGAAAGAATTTTACACTGGATAGAAGGTAATAAATGGCCTCCAATGTCAACTTTCAGCTCTAATATTCTGTGAATGGGTTAAATTGTTGAGTAAATAATGGTAGAAAGGGTATAATAAATGGATATTACGTTAAATAACCAAGTATGTTCTCAGTCATGTTTTCTCTGACTTGGCTATAATTGAAGTGTGTTAGGGAAAGAACAAAGTTGAAAAATAACATGCACAGAGATGTTGTTACAAGCAGTTTCACTGGCTATAGTTTTGGTAGTTCACCTTGTTTTTTCAAAATTTAATATTAAGTGATGCCTAATTACAGAAAACAGTTATTATGGCTGCTTCTAAGTAATTTAGCCTAAATGCAGACTATAGCTCTGAGCCTCTTTAAAATTTATATGACCCCAACAGTATACTTTTTGGTTTCATATTTGACTCTTGTATGTGGTCAAGTAAAGTTAGCAAAAAAAAAAAAAAAAAGGACACTGTAATATTAGAAATAGCAAGATAATTTACAAGGGTATGATCGTACATACTTACAGTTAAAGCAAAGGATCAACTTATGAATTATACCCAGTGAGGTAAAACACTTAGCTCATAAACAGAGGGCAAAATGGTGTTTGGGAAAGAAACTGCCCATGTTAGTGGGTTTTTTTCCTAAAAGACAAGTAAGTTATAGGTCACCCAAACTCCAAGAATATGCCTTATAATAAGTCCTATTAGATCCATATTAAACATTGGAACTAATTTGAGCTTGTTTCATTTGGTAAGAGGTAAAAAGCTAATTTTTCACCCTGGTAAAAAATATTTAAAATCTGACTAAATTATCTGAATAAAGAGGTATTCAAGGATAACAGAAAAACATAGGATCTGATTGTTTAATTATAATAGTTTCAAGCATATGAATTCCTAGTGAAAAAGGGGGAGTTCAATGAAATGTTTCAAACTATGCTGTCCAAGAAGGAATATACCACAATGAATTCCACACACATATAATTACAATGTACTAATTAAAATAATGATAGGGGGCTGGGGATGGGGCTCAGCAGTAGATCGATTGCCTAGCCCGTGCAAGGCACTGGGTTCAATCCTCAGCACCACATAAAAATAAATAAATAAAATAAAGATATTGTTTTCCAAATACAACTAAAAAAATATTTAAAAAATAATGCTAGAAGAGAGAGGGGTGGATCATGGGGAGGCAGGAAGGGAGGGAAAGGGAAGGTATGGGGAATGACCAAATTATGTACATGCATGAATATGCATAATTAATCCCACTATTATGTATAATTATAATGTAAGTTAATGAAACAACATTAGGAGTTAAAATTCAGTCAAGTGCCCAAAGCATATAAAATGTGGAACTTGCTATTTCAGTGAGAGTAAAGCTTGCTTCCTAAGAATACCTGTGAAATAATCCTTAAATGACATATTCACAAACTGTAGTTAGCCTTGTAAGTAAGTAATGTTCTCTATGAAGAAAAAAAATTGCTGAGTTGTCATCTTATGCCCTCTTATGAGATTTTAGTAACCTACTTAATGATAACAAAAAATATAACAAATATAAATGTAGAAATAAATAACAAAGATGTCTCTTCACACACGATTCCTTCAGCCTTATCATCCCATGAGCTCAGAGCAATACTTTTATTCGCGAACTTCCACGCACAAGCTCAAGTTTTGTTTTTTCTTTTCTTTTTTTATATTATATACTTAAATTTTTATTTGTTCTTTTTAGTTATACATGACAGTAGAATGTATTTTGACATATTATACAGACATGGAAAATAACTTCCCATTCTTGTGGTGTACATGATGTAGAATTACACTGGTTGTATATTCATATATGAACATAGAGGGTTATGTCTGGTTACAATGTGTGTATGTATGTATGTGTGTAGGTGTGTGTGTGTGTGTATTTTTTTGTTTGTTTTTTCTTTAAAGAGACTATTTGACAAAAATCCAAATGCACAAACCAAAAACATTCATGAGCATTCCTGGCTAACTTTTGACACTCTCTTGGTAAAGCTGATTTTTTTTAAGGCAGTAAGGTTCGCACAGAACCTAGCATCACAGGTAACGAGACTACCCTTAGCACTCTTCTGAAGTCTTCATCTCTCTCTACATCAGTCTGTGATAGAATTAGCCTACAGAACCAGTACCTCTCTTAGCATTATAAGGCTCAAAAAGCATAGTAGTAATGATGAAGATTGTACTGTTATTTTCTTCTTTAAAATAATTTATTCTGATTTTAAGTATTTTTTACTATAAAACAATAGGTTTAATATCTATGACTAACATAATGATTAACTTATGCATTACTACTTATAGTCTCACAATGAAAACACTATGGTTTTCTCGATACTTTAAAAAAAAAGAGCAAAACAAAGTTTTTCCTTAGGAAATATGAGATAGAATGTTATTATATACCAAACCGTCATTATCCAGAATATTGAAAATTACATCTTACAAAAAGACCCAACAATATTTATGGAATCTACTACAATGACAAGCAGTGTTTTCATAAGAGGTGGCCTTGAGATTTTGTATGTATGTACTTTTTTTTGTTATAGATCATAGGTTGAAAATTGACCAAAAAAAACCAAAAAAACAAAAAACCTTGAGCAGGTAGTGTCAAGGCCTTAAAAGTTCCCCTATTTTTAAAGTCTTAAAGAATTAAAACATGATTTTTTGAAAATAATATTTGGATTTTCATAATTTCAAAGGGAATATTTTCATCACTGAAATTCAAAAATTACAAAAAATAGAGACTCATCACCATAAATAATGCTATATATCCTACCAGTTTATTTATTTTTGCGGAGGGACTCGGGGGCTGGCACTAGGGATTGAGCCCAGGGGCTTTATGAATGTGGTACAGTCCCAACACTATTTTTTTTTTTGAGTTAGAGTCTCACTAAGTTTAGGGCCTCACAAGTCTCTGAGACAGGCCTTGAACTTGAGATCCTCTTGTTTATTTCTCCTAAATTGCCAGGATTACAGGTGAGTGCCATCACACTTGGCTTCCCACCAGTTTTATTTTCATTTGTTCTAATTAGTTCCACATGACAGTAGAATGCATTTTGACACATTATACATAAATGGAGCTTAACTTCTCATTTGTCTGGTTGTACATGATGTAGAGCTACACAGGTCATGTAATCGTATGTGCACATAGGTTAATAATGTCCAGTTCATTCTACAGTCATTCCTACCCTCACACCCCCTCCATCCCACCAGTTTTAATGGCATTTTAAATTCCAATATTAATGGCTACTTTTGAAAAATATTTTAAAATGTACAGACTTTAAAATTTAGAGGCTTGGGGCTGGGGATGTGGCTCAAGTGGTAGCGCGCTCGCCTGGGAGGCGTGCGGCCTGGGTTCGATCCTCAGCACCACATACAAACAAAGATGTTGTGTCTGCCGAAAACTAAAAAATAAATATTAAAAAATTCTCTCTCTCTCTCTCTCTCTCACTCTCTCTTTAAAAAAAAAATTTAGAGGCTAAAAATGAAACACTTGTAAGATATTGTACTTTGGCCATTAGTTTGTGATAATATAGCCTCAGATTTCAAACGTTTACCAAACAGAGCATCTTGGAATAAAATATAGGCATTTAGTTAACAAGTATTCATTTAAGTAGTTACACTTTATTCCTTGGAGGTAAGTATTAGAATCAAATGAGACAGCAGGATTTTGCTATATGAAGGTGATCACTCATCTATATGTTTCTGAAAAGGTTTATCAGATTTTTTGAAAATCGAAACTTTAGCTTATGACTACTGAGATCCTATTTAGCAATTGCAGTAAATTAATAGGCTAAGACAGTGGTCTTGATAGTTTAAATTTTAGGAAAAGTTCAAAAGCACATTTTAGGCACTGATATTAAGTCAACTACCACCTACTATTATTGTTCTATTTTTTAAAAAGATAATTTTAAGGCTAAAAATGTGAAAAAGAGAATCTTAAAATATATTTCCCAAGATAAAATGTGTCAACAATTCCACCTCCCCCACCCCTCAAACAACTTTTTTCCTTTTTATTTCTTTCCTCTTCCATTTCAGTGAAAACCAAGTAAAAGCTTAGTCATACTCCAAAGGACCATATTCCAATGCCCTTATCCTATCTTCCACAGCACTCTGGAATTCCCAACAACACAGTTTGGTAGCCCTGGAAAAATCTGTTTCTTTGTATTTCAGAGTCTGGACTTACAAGTATTAATAATATGGCAGGGCATAATATAAAGTGCACTAAATTAGGAATCAGGAGATCTGGTTTCCAGTACTGGCTCTGATACCCACTGGAGTATGCACATTTCTCAAGGTATCTTAATCTCTATTGGCCTGATTCTTCATTTGCACAATGAAACAAATCTAGGACTTACTCAAGCTCTAACATTTTAAGACTAAAAGCCTATACTTAATGTTATGACTTCATAAAGTCACTGAAATTATTATCTCAAATAATTGAAAAATACTGGTATAGTATAGGAGTTTCTTTTTAAAAGTTAAACAGCTACTCAAAAATGAATATCCAGGGTTAAAATGTTCACTGAAGTAAACATAATTAAATAAAGTCAATTCTAGCCCTCCAGCCATGAACAGGTAAAGAAACATGATATATATACACAATGGAATATTACTCAGCCATAAAAAAGAATGACTATAACTTCTGCTGGTATATGGAGACTATCATACTAAGTGAAATAATCCAATCCCCCAAAACCAAAGGCCAAATGTTTTCTCTGTTACACAAATGCTAACACACAATGATGGTGGAGGGGGCATATAGAAAATTTTAGTGGATTAGACAAAGGGGAATGAAGGGAAGGGAGAGGGGAGGGAACAGGAAAGACAGTAGAATGAATCGGACAAAACTTTCCTATTTTCATACATGAATGTACCACCAGTGAAATTCCACATCATGTACAATCACAAAAATGGGATACTAATTAGAATGTTATACTTCATGTATATATAATATGTCAAAATACACTCTATTATCATGTACATCAAAAAAGAATAAATAAAAAAAGATTTTAAAAAATCAATTGTAACACTTTCTCCCAATCTCTACTCCCCTGGTAATGCCCACTACCCACCCTCTTTATCAGGCAGTGACTATGAGAACTCAGAGAAAGCATTTCAGTCACCTCTAAGATGCCACTATCTTAGATCTAACAAGCTTTTGTGGCAATATTCTAGGGATATAGTTGGTTCACTTCTTTTTATGAGGATTATACTTTGTGTCCTGGCTTTGAGCCTTGACTTTATCCTGTATTTAGAAGACAAAATTTTTGTCTTGTATTCTCTTCTCAGCTTCTGACAGTATGATCTTAAGCACTCGGTTTCCAGAAATTCTAAAGTGTCACAAAAGACTTATGGTTTGATTTTACATGGAATGTGCCATCCTTTTTGAAGTCCTACATCATTTTGTTTACTACTTAACCAGTAAAACATTATGAAACCTTAACCAGCCTATTATCAGAGTCTGTTCACTATCAGGAAAACTCTTTTGTCACTGGCTTCCGTCACACCTTGTATCTGATTAACACACTATAGGATAACATAGGGCCACATAGATCTGCTTTGTGTTCTAACATAACTGATGGAAAACAGATTTTCCTTTCTCCTTTAATGTGGCAGCCCCTTAATTGAGACTGTAATATGGTTTATTTAATACAATTTTTCATACTAAATTAAAGCAGGTCTAGAGTAATTTAGCTATTCATTATAATTAAGGCAGCAGCTATTAAAAAGATGCTTTTATGTCTTAGAAAAACATTTCTCTGAATGATACACATATACACAAATTAAACACACACATAATAAAGTTACTGACTTTTATGCACATACTCTCTGAACTGTCCCAAGTGTCACCTCTAGACTTGGCCATGGCATTTTCTAATCAGATCTCTAAGTACAATTATATCCTAAAACAATCTCTACTTAAAATACTGAGGAGGCTAACCTGTACAATATCTTTTTAAATATGCCAAGTCAGGCCTAAAAGTAAAAGGCAGAACTAAATGAAATTTATTTAAGAAATGATGATTTTTCTCTTTCATACTATGCTTGGGTTCTTTTAAGTCCAACTGTTGCCAATTAAAGAAAAAAAATAAAGCAATATGCATAAGAAACAGGCAAGGAATACACACACACATTCGTGTAAATAAAAATTTTTGTGTATTTAAATTCCAACAAGCTGGAAAAATATCCTGAATTTCTGTCTTTTTGTTTATGTAATATAAAATAAACTATAAAACAGGGCTAACAAAACTTATTAAATCCAATTTGTATGAAATTAAAAAAATAAAAACATCAAACTCACATTGAAAAATTAAAATTTACTAAGCCTGAAAAATAAGCAAGAAGTGAACCAGGTGAACCAGGGTCTTGAACCTTATAGGAGCATACCAGCAGAAAGGCAAAGCCATGTCATTATTTTGTCCATCTCTAACTATTTTTCTATAACTACATATTGCCCATCTATAACTGTTTCTTATAGTTATAACTGGACAGAATTCCTTTATTTTGTTTATTTTTATGTGGTGCAAAGGGTCGAACCCAGTGCCTCACTCATGCAAGTTCTCTGCCACTGAGTTACTGCCCCAGCCCAGCAATGTTATTTTTGCTGGTTTTTCTGGAAGAATGTGGGATATTTCCATGGCCTGGTGCCCTTCTATTAGCTCTACTGGACTTCACTTCTGAGAAAATGAACCATGAGTATGATTTAGTGCAGCAGCACAGCAGGCGTGCCACATTACATGAATCATCCACGTGTGATATCTTTAAACACTCCCAGTTTAATAAGTCTGGTTTTTCTATGTAAATGTTTCAGACTAAGGTTTTCCTCAGTGTGAAATGATCTGTGATTATGTGGCAAGACATCAAATAGTTACTTTGTAAATCCAGTTTAGAGATTCATAGATTAAGTGAACTAAATCGTTCAATTTACTTGTTCCAATTTTTTTTGTACTCACTCAAAAGTGATAAAACAGCAGAGAGCCATAATGCACATAGCTTGTGGTTATATCATGAAAATAATAAAACATAAACAAAATTTTCTTTGTAACTTTAGATTTTAATGCTAAGATCTACAAGTTCCTTCGAGGAGGGTAGGGTCAGCAAAGTAAAATGAAGACTAAAAATGCTCATTGGATTTAGAAAAATGAAGGTCAGGGTTACTTTGTTGAGTACCATTTTCATACAGCAGAGGAGACAGAAGAAAGCAGGCAGGTTGTGTGCAGCAATATACACTACAGATTAAAAAAAATCTTTTAAAAAATACATAGAATCTGGCACATCCCTGGTATAAGGCCCAAGACCAGCAGAGGACTGTTGGAGCAGCATAATTTCTCAATAAGAGGCTGTAGGGTCAGCATGTTTCTACCCCAAGACTTAGATTATCCTCTGTTCATATCTATCTAGTCATGTATACTTTAAAAATCTCCCAAGTTGCTGGGTGTGATAGGGGCACTCCTTCAATCCCAGAAACTCGGGAGGCTGAGGCAGAGGATTGCAAATTCAAAGCCAGCCTCAGAAACTCAGTGAGGCCCTAGGTAAGGGCTGGGGATGTGGCTCAGTGGTTGAGTGCCCCTGGGTTCAATCCCTGGAACCAAAAGTAAAAAAAAAAAAAAAAAAAAAAAGAAAAGAAAAAGAAAAATCCAAAGTCATGAATAACATGAAGATTTTTTATATTTCCCATCATTCCAAAGCAATTGCAACTTACAAAGCAAGTGTATGCGTATAACAAAAATTAGCTTATTTTTAAAAAAAGTTAGTCTGAACTGTTTAAAAACCTTAAGTTAAACTTAAATTTTTTTTCAAACTGAAAAAAATAGTTAACACAAAATTTGATTTATTTAAGAGATTTAATGGCAAGCTATAAAAATTATTAGTTTTAACAGAAGTTATTAAATTTCCTGATCTTAAAGAATAATTTCTCAAAAAAACAAAAACAAAAAACCCTCAAAACTCAAGTGATTCCAAGATGACATGTAGATTAGGCTTAAACTCTGAACTTGTATAAAGCCTCGTTAAGTAAGAAGACTATAATTAGAAGTTGAAGCCAACAGGCTTAATGTTTTAAAAGAAAATTTAGTATCAGAATTTTCTGAACCTTACCAAAATACAAAATTGTGTTAACATTGAATGCATAGTTCAAATTAGGTGTATAATGTCTTTTCCTGCCTAAAATGAAGACAAATGTACACGTGTAGAGAATAATTACTTACCGCTATAATGTCTAGAGTATTATCACAGACCTTTCGGATTTCATTATTTTTATCATGCATCAGGTCTATGAGATATGCTGGAGCCTCTGAATAAAAATGGTTAAAGATATAAACTGCATTTGAGATCATGACTCTTTAGTAATATTAGAAATCCCCCATTTCTTCTAAGTTTAAATGCTTAATTGAAATTTAACTTCAAATTTTAAAATCATTAGTTCACTTTAATATTTCATTTGTTAAGCACTAGAGTTGTGTAGCTATAAATGCTTTCTTGATCTGAGTGATTTCACACAAAAATGAACGAGAGCCAAAATCATTCCAAAAAAAAAAAAAAAACCAGTGTATATTACGGTATTGCTAAAAAAAAAAAAAATGAACAACAGAAAATAATTATAGTCAAATCCCGTCTATGGTTGTTATAAGAAGGGGAAAAGAAAGAGAAAACATGGTAAGGCATTTTCATGTAAGAGAAAGACAGAACCTGTCATTTTGAAAGAGATAAGAATTTAAGAAAATATTAAAATATATATGAACAAACAACATAAATCAGAACTACAAAACCCAGAGAAAAAACTAGGAAAGAAACAAAAATAAAAGTAAAAATTATTATAGGTATAATAACTAAATTTAAATAACACAAGATACAACAGATAAAATCCTAAAAGAAATGAGGTAAAAAGGAAGTAAATTTATAAAATCAAAACATAAATAAAGAAAAAAAAAGATTGGAAAATCACAGATTTTAAAGATAGGCCATGAAGAGTCAATATAATAGAAATCTCAAGAAAACCAAGGCAACGGCACGAAACCAGTAACTAAAAATTACCATTCAAGAAAAATTTTATGAGGGGCTGGGGTTGTGGCTCAGTGGTAGAGCACTTGCCTAGCACTTGCCTAGGCCCTGGGTTCGATCCTCAGCACCACATTAAAATGAATAAATAAAAGTATTGTGTCAACTACAACTAAAAAAATACTTATTAAAAAAAAAAGAAAAAATTTCTGAAAAAAAACCTTAAAACTACAAACAGGAAAAGTACATTTGTACACTCAGAAAAATCAATCAAGGATGATAAACAAATTCAAATTTAGTAAAAACAAAAACAAAAAACAACAAAAAGACCTTGATGTTAAAGAAAATAAACATTCTTCTGGTCTTCTTAGAAAAAAAAAAAAGAAACAAGTTATTTCTAAAGGGAAAGGAAATTAAATTACCAGAAGACTTTAGGGTAGATAATTATAATTAGACTGATTAGACTTCTCCTTGGTAGCAATGTAGGCCAGTAGACAGGTGGGAAAGTCCTTTAAGTTATGCCTTTAAGTTGTGAGGGAAATGACTGTCAACCTAGAGTTCCATATTCTGCTACATTATTATTTAAGAGGACAAATTAGTTATCTTATATAGTTAGATTTTATTATTCATAGGTAACATTCACCATAAAAATTCTTCATTTAAAAGGAATGAATTATTTAAAAAAATTTTTTTTTTTTTAAGGAGAGAGAGCAAGCGAGAGAGAGGGAGGGAGGGAGGGAGGATCTTTTTTGTAGATGGACACAACACAATGCCTTTATTTTTATGTGGTGCTGAGAATTGAACCCGGATCTCGCCCGTGCTGAGGGGAGCGCTCTACCGCTGAGCCACAATCCCAGTCTGGAATGAATTCTTTTTAACACATTCTTTCTTCAAAATGTTTAAATATATTGGACCCACTGGGGAAATCACAATAAAAAGCATGATAAACAAATTCAAATAAATATTTTGTTTAATGGTGAAATTAAATATTTTCATAATATTTAGTATGTGACAAGTTGCAACAAGATATACTTGTCACTGACATCAATAAAAAACTTGGTTTCTGAACACCAAAACATTTCTGAGTTCATTATTTTGATGGAAGCACTTCAGCAATACTTATTTAATCTTAAAACATGGATGAAAGCATCAGATTGAAGTAGTATTCCTTGAGGCTTTTGTAAAAATTTAATTCTGCCAGTCTTTAATTGCCAATTTACACTGTTTTCAACATTTTGTATTCTTTGGGATAACTATTTTAAAAGTACAGACCCCAAATATATTGGTATTAAATAAAAATTGAAGTTAGAATGAAGAACAGTCAAACAGAAGCTCTCTTAATACTGTGAGTTTGGCTACTAAGGTACTGAGTAGGTAGCAAAGGCTGAAACACTTGCTGTATATATGAGGCACTTGGTAGGTATCTTAAATACTTCATTCTTTAAAAATCCTATGAAATGAAGTGCAAACAGAACTGTCTTTCAAAGAGGTCACCTAGGAAAGCTATGCTTTCATTTGACTGTTTTCTGTAGTGCCTTCTGTAGTTACATGTTTTAAATACCCTCTATACATAAAATAGCCTTCTAGAGGCTCTAATCCTCTAGAAGGAGCACATACATACAGGTTCTGAAAAGACCCTATTGCAAGAAAGTCTGTTAAACTCTATTTTGCAAGCCTATTCAAAACCCTATTTTTCATTAAACAACTGTTAATACTTAAGGAATGTTTCACGGAATACAGCTAGGGAAAAGTTTATTACTTTCAATGATTTTAATTTTATTCAAAAAGTGTATTTTTTTAGTTGTCAATGGATCTTTATTTTATTTATTTATTTGCAGTGCTGAGAATCAAACCCAGTGCCTCACGCATACTAGGCAAGCACTCTAACGCTGAGCCCGAGCCCCAGCCCCAGCCCCAGCCTTCTAATGTGGCTTTTAAGGCAAACCAGTATTTGTTTTTAGATAGCCCTCATCAAAATGAAGATTTCTTGGAAGGAGACCCTCATCATTATACAAAATTACATATAAGAGGAAGTGAAGGGAAAGGAAAAAAAAACAAGGGAGAGAAATGAATTACAGTAGATGGGGTAGAGAGAGAAGAGGGGAGGGGAGGGGAGGGGAGGGGGGATAGCAGAGGATAGGAAAGGCAGCAGAATACAACAGACACTAGTATGGCAGTATGTAAAAACGTGGATGTATAACCCATGTGATTCTGCAATCTGTATACAGGTTAAAAATGGGAGTTCATAACCCACTTGAATCAAATGTATGAAATATGATATGTCAAGAGCTATGTAATGTTTTGAACATCTAATAATAAAAAAAAGAAAGAAAAAAAATGAAGATTTCTTCAGTTAGACTTGTTATTCCCCAGACTGAACTTCTGGAGCCTTTATATGCTTCCAAAAGTTAATTTTTCCCCTCAAAAGCAAGGTAATTTTCCTCTAAAGGTGATATCTAAAGTGTACATCATTAGATTTGAATGTAGTACAGAGGAGTTTCAAAATGCTTTGAGTAATGGTAGCATCATTTAAAACTAAAAAATCTCTTAAGGTATTATTTTAAAGGACATTAACCAATTAGATACCAGCATTCATTGACCATACAAGTTTTTACCACATATCAAGTACTGTGTTAACTTTTGGGTACAGATAAAGATAAGATAAAGACAGTACTTGAGCTTGAGGACCTCAAAACTTTTGGGAGAGATAAGCATATAAACAGATGATTGAAAGTACTTTTAAGCGGTTAAAAAATTTTCTTTTTTCTTTTTTTCTTTACAATTCTTAATACACCTTTATACCACAATTTATCTTTTGCTATGTACATAATATGAATATACCATAGTGAATTTCACCCATATATGTATAAAACACCAATTTTATAAAACAATAAGACTAGTGAAGGAAAGGAAACAGGGGGAGGGAGGAGGAAGGGAAAAGTACTGGGGACTGAAGTAGAGTGAATTACATTCTACACATGTACAATTATGTCAAAATGGACACCACTATGATGTTTAACTATAATGCACTAATAAAAGCATGAAATTGCTAAAAGAGAAAAAAACCCCAAAAAATAAAAAATAAAAAAAGAGGTAAAGAAAGAAAGAAAGAAAGAAAGAAAGAAAGAAAGAAAGAAAGAAAGAAAGAAAGAACGAACGAACGAACTACTGGGAATACGAAAGGCATAGGATTTAGAAAGGCTTAATTAACTAAGAAGATGGTATATAAAACTTTGATGGGTAAGAGACATGGGTGAAAAAAAAGGAGAGAATGCATTTGAAGTTGACAAATATACAAAAAAAGCAGTAAATTATAAGGTAGGTCATATCTGATGATCAGAAATTTGATGTACTGAAAGAAAATCTCAGACTTAATTATATATACTCAGGTGTCTCATATACCCATGTCTTTATGACACTGAACATACTGGATTATTGTTTTATATTTACTTATCTTTTCAACCAGGACTGATTTCATAAATCAGGATGTGTTTGATGGTCAATGCTTATGTAGAATATATGATTAATTATGTATAGTAACAGAGACAATAGACAGTAACATTTCCAGCATGACATGCTGTGTGGATGACACTGTTATTATTCACAATGAATACAGAAGGCAGGACTGTTTTTGCTCCACATAGAAGGATGGTGACTGTATAGAGTACCCTTTGGCTGCAGTAATGTTTAACTACCATTTACTGAGTACCTCTGGGACTGGGAACTATAATAGGCACCTTAAATCCATTAATAGTTACAACAAACCCACAAAGTAGGAAGTCTTTTTATTTACTACCACAGTCATTTTCTTGATGTCAGAATGTATGCTAAGGAAGTCATCTAACTTTTTGAGGTCCCACATTTAGTAAATGGCAAAAGATTATTAAAAATTAGGACTGCATGAGGGTGGAGGATGCAGCTCAGTGGTAAAGCACTGGCCTCACATGTGCAAGGCTCTGATCACCAGCACAGAAACATAATGAAAACATAGGCACACAATGCTCTTAGGATACACCAGGCCAAGGCCCTTTTAGGTAAGGACATCCAGACAGCAGTTAGCAACAAATGTCTGAGGCCCGAGACGTTTTGCAGATATTAAATACTTAACATACAGTTGGGTAGTTAAAGTCCTGACAACAGACATGTTTTCCAGTGTACAGAAAATAAAGTTACTGGAAGGACGGTCCTTTGAACCTGTGATAGTTAAGTGATATTAGTAGAGAAGGAAATTCTGACATGTTCAAGTTTCTTAGTAATCAAAACCTGACAAGTTAAATAAAATTGGTCTCATTATATTCTATTTATATAGAATATAATATAGAGGTAGAGAATTCTTCATCTGAAATGGTTAGAGTGTTTAAATTTAAATTTACTTAGATTTTAGAATATTTGCTTATATGTAATAGGTTATCCTGGGAATTGGACATAAGTCTGAACAAGAAACACATTTATGTGCCATACACACCCTATGTACATACCATGAAGGCTATTTAGTACATATATACAATATTTAATACACTTGTGCTTTGAATGAGAATGCTACATGATATGAAAATTTCCACTTGTGGTGTTCATGCTGGCATTCAGAAAGCTTCTGATTCTAGAGCATTTCTATTTCAGATTAGTCATGTTCAACCTGTATTGATTTAGGGTGAAGAGTACCATGGAAAATAGTGTATCTTCTAAATTTATTGTAAAGCGTGGTATTTTCTGTAGCATTTTAATATTTACATAAAGAACAACAAGAAAGAAGCATGTTTTTGATGATGTGAGATACATCCTCTAACACTAAAAGGATACGTGTCTCCTTGATTATGACGTCTCTTGTGGCTTGGTGGAAAACCATCTGGTAGAAGACATAGATTATCTGACACACAAACTCATCATCTTCTTGTTGAGCTAGAAGGAAACAAAATTTCATAAAAAAATAATGTTTACATACCAAACTGAGAATTACTGGGAATAACAGAGAGATAAACTCACTGTTTATGGCAAGTATGTAAGTAAAGGACAACAGTTTAAAATACTTATAATACATAGGTGACACATATCATCTATGTCTCTGGTGTTTCTTCTAAAATACCATGATCAGTGGAGAAATTTTATGACAGTATATTTATAGTAGCTTTAAGAAATTTGGTTATGATTAAATTAAGTAGGTTAATTATTTTTAAAATACAAAGAAAAATATGAAGATTTTGAAAAACAGAAGTTACATCAATTCGGAGGTTTAATCAGACTACTGGAGATAGTTCATCTGAAAAGATCAGGTAGCACTAAATAGGAACTGAGGGACAAGACTGATGGAAAAGAATAGAAACAGTGCTTCCCTGTCATCTTCACTGTATTTTGCCAATATACATGACAAAAACCAGTCTAAATTAACTTCTGTGCTCCTAACGTGAAATGGCAACACTTACCACCACTTGCTTTGTTTCTTACTATTCTTCACAAGAATTCTTCAAACAATTTAATTTGTGAAATAAGCCCATTTGCATTTTGCCTTTATAATACTGACTTCACATGAGAAAAACAATTCATTAAAAAAACCCCTACATCTTCTGAATTCTAAGTTTTGGGCAGGGTAGAAACTGGACTATTATAAAAAGATACTTCTTTTGTTGAATAATGTTCACAAAATTAAACTTTACACATTGGCATGAAATGAGTACTTTAGTTTCAATCTCATTATAATCATAAAAAAGTTATATAACAATAAAAGCTAATTAATAAATGTTTAATATTACATAAAATAATTTGACAGAATAGCTGATGTTCATTGATGTTTAAAAATAAAATCTAATTTTAACTACTAGTTATTAAATTTGATTTACTAATACTGTAGTTTGCCATAAACCTTGCCAATAGTTCAATGATATGCTAGAAAGAGATTTCTTGGTTAACATAGTATCTAATTAGTTGTGTGGAGTAAACTGTGGGCCCCTTAAATTCCAGTCTGCCCCAAATGACCTCCATCATGAACTTCCTAAAACAAAATGAACTGAAATTCTCACTGTTAATTACTCCCCTTCATCTACAACATCCATTCACTGAACTCCAAAGGTTTTTTTAAATTGGGAAAATCCATATATTTATTTAAAAAGAATATTATATAGCTCCTACCTGTGATAATCTCACAGTGGATAAACCAAAGCATGAATGTTTAGCTCACTCTCACATACCTCAGCTCTCTCAATTAAATCACTGTGGGACCAGCAATTCTAGGACACTGGTCACTTTGCTTCAACTTTCTACAGCTCTCCACAAAATCTTCATTCTCCTTTTATCAGCTATATTGTTTTCACTTTTGCCTCCCAACTACCTAGTCTCTCCTTTAATTATTTCTAATACTATACTATTTCTAATACTATATTATCTATAGCAACAAAAATGAACAAACTTCTGTATAAAACATAAAGGAATCTCACAAATAAAATGAGGGACAAAATAAACCAGATTCCCCATATAAAGTTCACACTCAGGCAAAACCTATCAGTGATAAAAAAGATAGAAACTACTCTGACGAAGATGGTAATGACTGGGAGAATGAGAGAGGTATTTCTAGGATTCTGGTAATGTTTTATTTCTCTATGTGGGTAAGGCAACAATGTTGGGTATGCTCACTTTGAAAATTAATTGAAGCCTGCATTGCTGGTGGGACTGCAAATTGGTACAGCTAATCTGAAAAGCAGTATGGAGATTCCTTGGAAAACTTGGAATGGAACCATCATTTGACCCAGCTATCACAAAGCATATTATAGGGACACAGCCATATCAATGTTTATAGCAGCACAATTCACAATAGCTAAAATGTGGAACCAACCCAGATGTCCTTCAGTAGATGAATGCAGAGGTAAACACTGCTATATATACATAATGGAATATTACTCAGCATCCAAAGAGAATAATTCATGGCATTTGCAGGTAAATGGATGGAGTTGGAGAATATGATGCTAAGCGAAGATAGCCAATCCCCCAAAACCAAAGACCGAATGTTTTCTTTGAAGAGGATGCTGACTCATAATGGGGATGTGGGGGGAGCCTGGAAGGAATGGAGGAAATTTAGATAGGGCAAAGGGGAGGGAGGGGCAGGGAGGATGCAAGGGGGTAGGAATGATGGTAGAATGAGTTAGACATCATTATCCTAAGTACATGTATGAAGACACCAATGGTGTGAAAATACTTTGTATAATCAGTGACTTGAAAAATTGTGCTCTATGTATGCAATATGAAATGAATTGCATTCTGCCATTCTGTGTATAACCAATTAGAATAAATAATTTTAAGTAACATTTTAATCACTCAAAATATCAACATTATATAAGAGTTTATAACTTAAAATTTCATCCCTGTCCCAGTTCATCTGCTCCCCTCTATACAGACCCAGTTTTATTAGAGTTTTGTGTTTATTTAGGCCAGTGACAGATTATAAAATAAATATTATTATGATCCTTATTTATATCACAAAATTTATCATCCAATGTCCTATGCTTCATTAGTGTAATCTAACACTATGATATGGATAATTTTCAATAATATGAACATAGGTAAACATATAACTTTTAAATTCAGTCTTTTAAAAGCTATGTTTATTTAGCTGTGTATATGAACCATAATTTAAGGAGTTTTAAAACTGGTAGTCACTATAATTTTTTTTCCAAAATGTTACCATTGCAAATATGCTATAATGAAAAATCATTTTTATAAATTATTTTACATGTTTGCAGACTTATTTGCAGGGTTAATTCCTAAAAGTATAAATGCTGGATAAAAGAGAAATACATTTATAAATGTGATGGGTTTTGCCAAGTGAATCCCCATAATGTCACATTATTTTTGAACATCAATGAAAAATGTTTGAGAAGGCCTATTTCTCAACTTCACCAACAGGGAGTTATCAGTCTCTAGGCATTTTGTCAACCAAGTAAAAATATTCCAGTGCATTTTAAATTTTCATTGTTCTTATTAAAGCAAAGTCAAGTATCTTCTCCAAAGATACTTTCTGTTTCAGCTAGACTTTGGGCTGTGCCCACTCAAGTTGGTTTTGCAACTTGGTCCAAGGACATAAATTTAAGAATTAAAGCAATATTTCTATTTTCTTTTTTAAAAAAGTCCTTAGAATTATCAAAATGATAAATATTATTGCTTCAAATAATTTTTTATCTATTATATATCTTGAGAACATTTGTAGGATTTTAAGAGTTGTAAGTACTTATAAATCTGTTTTTAAAAAATTATATAAAAAATGAAAACTGGAAAAAAGAAAATTCATTGAAGTCTATACCTATAATTTATACATTTCTCTTTATGTATGTTACATTTCAAAAAAGTTTACTAAAATTAATACAAAATAAACATACATTATACCTGCTGTAGGAAGGACTGAAGACTTTAGTCATCTCATATTAGCCTTTTAAATTTTTATAGTATTAGCTACTTTTAATGTGAAAGACACTAGAGAACTTGGTCCTAATAAGATAATATTAGATTCAGATAAATTTTCTATGCAATATAGATTAACAATGTGTCCTGGCCACTTAAGATCAATACAAATATAAGGAGACAATCAAGGCCTACATTGTTCAAAACTTCATATGCTACCATGGCTAATAAAATTAAAAATTCAGGTTCTCACTCCTGACAGCCACATTTAAGTGTTCAATAGCGACATATGTCGGCTAGCACAGATATAGATGGGAACACTTTTCATCATCACAGGAAGCTCATAAGACAATGCCCATGGATCCACAGGAAATATGATGTTTAGAATCAGCTCCCAAATGTACTTTTCTACTTAGAAATCAAGATACAAAAAGCAAGTTTTGAATAAAAGAACAGATCCAACTAAAACTAACAAAAAGTTAGACAAAAAGAAAAAATGATCGAATATTAATGAGGGGAGAGAAAGTGAGGGAAGGGCAGTATTTGTAAAATTGGACCCAAAAAGCTTTATAGAAAGTTTCAACTTTATAGTCTAAAGGTCTTTAACATTATCCTATCCAATCCTAGATAGCAGTATTTTGTTCATTTTTTTTAACTACTTAAGTTTCTTTTGATTAATGTAATAAGGTAAATACTATTTCATGTTGCAGACTCCACAAAAAAATTTAAACTAATAAATTGCTTAGTCATTAGTATGAAAATAAATTAAGATAATTACCATTTAGCAGTTCAATGAGTGCAGGGATTATCCCAGATTTTGCTAACAGTGCAGCACAAGAGTCATCCATAGATACAGTTCCAATCATTATAACCACTTCTAAAACAAGATCATCTTCTGCAGCACCTAGAAAAGTCAAACCAGAGAAAATTTTCATTAAAATGTCTTGATTCAGGGCTGGGGTTGTGGCTCAGTGGTAGAGTGCTTGCCTAGCACGCCTGAGGCACTGGGTTCGATCCCCAGCACCACATAAGAAAACTAAATAAACAAAGTAAAGGTATTATGTCCATCTACAAATAAAAATATTTTTTAAAAAAGAAATGTCCCGATTCAAATCCAATTATATCATCAAATTTCAATTCACAGAAAAGATAGGTAAAGCTGTTAAATTACTTCCCATAAATCTTTTACATACTTAGACAAAAAAAAAAGGCTTATTTGAATGCTTAAAAGGACTTCGTGTGTGTATATGTGTGTATGTAGGTATGTATAGGGGTGGTATTTGGTAATTAAAAAGAGATAGGATTAAAAACCTACAAAATGGGGCCGGGATTGTAGCTCAGTGGTAGAACACTTGCTTAGTATGTGTGAGGCCGTGGGTTAGATCCCCAGCACCACATAAAATAAATAAACAAAATAAAGCATTGTGTCCATCTACAACTAAAAAAATATTTAAAACAAACTACAAAACAACAAGAAAGGTAGGATAAAGAAGGAAGAACTAATTTTAAGAAAATATATTGTCAGGAGAGAGAAAAGAGAATATTCATCTAAGAGGAGACCAATGACCACCCTTCTAGGGGGACAGAACTGTGGTAAGAATATGTTTTGCCTAGTAATAATAATAGTTGAAAATGTTGCTCTAGCAGTCTTGTTCACAACAGAATGACCTTAATGATAATGCAAAAGTGAAATACCTAGAACAGACCTGGCTTTAGTTTATCCTTGAGGTACGGAACCAACTTGTACTCCTTAAGAACCAATTCCCAGTCTAAGTCTGGAATGGTCAAATTTGCAAGAGTTCCCAAACATTCAATCACAAACTCTTCCTCTTCATCATTAGAGATCTGGGCTGCAAGGTCCCCAACATAATCCTGAATAAAACAGAATTTTAATTCAAATTTAAGTTACAAGAAGAACCAATCTAATAATGTAACCCATAAAAAGAAAAAGTAAACATCAAAAGTAATAATCAAATTATTCTCCTGTTTTAATAATATTAAGCTAACTTGCAAAGGGAGCCTGTGGTGAGTTAGTCTGATGCAAGAAGACTGCAGTGGGGGTGGAGGAATTAGTAGTAGAGCTCACAAAACAAAAACAACATTAAAAGGTAGACTTGGATTTTTTTTTTGTTTTTCTTTTTTTGAAAAAAGAAACCAGAGGCACTTTACCACTCCACTATGTCCCCGCCCCCACCTCCCCTTTTGGAGACAGTCTAGCTAAGTTGCTTAGGGACTTACTTAATTGTAAGTTGCTGAGGCTGGCCTCAAACTTACAATCCTTCTGCCTCAGTCTCCCAAACTGCTGGGATTACTAGTGTGCACCACCATGCTAACCTAGATTAGGATTTCTAAGAGCTAAACCTAACAAGTTTATGGTAGAACAGCCAATGGGATTGTGAATAAATATCTGATAAGAGCTCAGTAAGAGTTATCTTTTCAAATATAGCTATTTAAAACTACAACTCAGTTTATTTTAATAGACAGAAAGCTAAAAACTATACTTACAATAAACAAATTTTTAGTTGGCCCATCATGCTGGGAAATGTTTCTAATCATTTTCATTAGCAATGGATCCTTGAACTTCAGAGCCCTTTTCATGAGCATCTTCAACCCATTTCCTGAAATAGAAAATTTTCCCATTGCAATTAAAGTTAATTTAAATTTAAAGATTTTTTTTTGTTATAAAAATTTACATCCAATAAAATGCACAAGCCGTAAATGTAGAATTGGTAGACAAAGGTTCATGCTCGTTCAACCCATACTACATATCAACATATAGAGTGTCTCAATTCATTCCAGGAAGTTCTCCTTGTGTCCCTTCCCAGTCAAATACTCCTCCTCAGACACACTTTTCAGTTTTTCCCTTCCTCTTCTCCTTCTTGGGTTTCTTCTTTAAAAATACAGATTAATTTTGCCTGATCTAGAACTTCATATAAATAGATTCATACAGCATTTACTCTTTTGTATCTGGAATTTGCACAGTAAAAATTTTAAAAAAACATAAATTCTTTTGAACCAGAAAAACATCGTACTTCAGTAATTCAGCCTAAGAATATAAAACTGAAATGCATAAAGATATAGAGAAAGGATATTTGCTACATCACTGTTTGTAACAAAAGAAGTGGCAACAAACCAAACATCTGAACTAAAATAAACCCTGGCAAAATCCTCTAATGAACTATTTTGCATCTACTAACAATTATGTTTTATAAAAATTTTAACCATATTAAATGATATTCAAGATATTCATTTAAAAATAATATTTAGAGAATCACATTTTTATTTGAAAATACACATTAGTATTTTACTAAAACCTAACATTTATCTTTGAATGGTAAGAGTAAAGATTAAATTTTTCCTATTTGCTCACTTGTACTTTTTTATAACGAGCACCTACAACTTTTCAAATAAGAAAAACTATTGAGTATTCTCTAAAACATTATAATGTATGACAAGACACTTTACCAAGACATTGTAGAAACATAACCTAATACAAATGTATTTTATCCCCTTTTGTTGTAATTGAATGTTTTGCAAATAAAAAGTTTAAATTTCACCTAAAAATGTTTAAAAAAAATCAAATTTCAATCAGTGCTGACCTTAATTTAGAAAATGTTACTGATGGGTGTTTCTGCTCATGACATAGAATATTCTATTTGATGCTTAAGAATTAGAGCTATAAGGAAAAACCTTATTGAAAAATAGGATTTACATATCTATTATAATTCTTAGTTCCTTTTATCCTATTTCCCATAATATGCCAATTAGCAGATGTTACAGAAGTTACCTATGAAGCTCAAAGTCACTAACCTTCACAGATAAGCTGTACATTCCTCTTGTTAGCAGCAAGATTAATGCAAAAAGAAATGAGTTCCAAGTCAATTCGTTCATCTGAACATTCAAAGAGCATCTTCATTAACTAGCAAAAAGCAGAGGGAATACTTTATTCAAATAAAGTCCAAACTCAGAAGCAATATCTTATGTTGTGTTATCTTAGATTGTACTTTGAAAGTAATATAATCTATGTTAAAACACAAAACTGGCAAGCTTTTACTCTTCGATACTGAATAAGTAATCAACTACCAGATATTTAACATTAAATATAAACTTCCATGCGAATATAAAAGAAATATTAGATAAAAATCTCTGCATGTAAGGAATTAAATATTATTGGGAAATTGAGCATACCAAATAAAGAAAATAGTTTATGAAAATGTCACAATGAAAGAAAGCACAATTCTTTCTTTTTTCTTTCCAAACTTTTTCATTGGGGCATTATGTTATATATAATGATGAAATTTGCTGCTACATATTCACACATGCACACAATACATCAATGTAATTTGGCCAATATCATTCCCCAACAATTCCCCCTCCCTTCCTCCCTCTCCCTGATTCCTTTCCTCTACTGACTTTTGATTTTCCTGCCTCCCACCACCCACAAAAGAACACAATTCTTCTGAAGGACCAAAAGAAAGTGAGCAAGATTGGGGAAAGAGAAACAGCTGAGAAATAGGAAGGTAAAAGCCAGATCATGTAAGGTCTTGAAGTACTTGTTAAGGATTTGGGAATTCATCCTAAGGTTAATTGGAACCTATTAAAGGCTTCTAAATAGGAAGATGTCAGGTTAAGACTTGTGTTGCAAGAAAATCTGACTAGTGTCAAAAATAAACTGATCAGGGCAAGAAAATGTGGGAAATTACCTAGGAATCTAGAGGAAAAATCCAGGTGAAATGGTGGCTGCCTGGACAAGGTAGGGCCATGGGTACAGATTTATGAGGATTGATTAGAGATCTATACGGCAGACAGAATAAAAATGGGATTTACTAACTGAGTAGATGTTGGGTTAAAGGGAGAAGAGGAGTCAGGATGACTCCCAGGATTCTAACCTGAACAATAACATGAATGGCGGTGCTAACATCTACCAAAAAAGAGAAACTAAGGTAGGGAAAACCTTAAAGGGAAGATAATACTTTTGGCTTTAGATGTATGGAGTCTAAGCTGCTTGTTAATAGTCTAGGGCAGAATATTCAGTAGGAAATTATAAATACAGGCCTAAATTTAGAAGAAATATCTGGACTGGAGATATAATGTTAGAAATTGTTAGATATGATTGATAACTGAAGCTGCAAGCTAGATTGAATAACATGGATGTGATATAAAATGAAAACATAACTATATTTAATGGTAAGAGAGAGGAATGTGTGAGAAGCAACAGTGAAACCAATTAAGAAGGAATAGGTGGGCAACCTATGCCAGCTGGCTATAGTGTAAATTTGTCAAGATCAGTGACAGCTGCTATAATAAGGAAACATGAACAATACCATTCTGTGTTTTGGAGAAGCTAGTCATCTGTGATTGGAAAACAATCAATTAACAGTGCATATTATGTGAAGATATTTTGTCTAATTCCAAATTGCTAACAACATATGGAAGTTATTTTTGATTTGTACTCTAAAAATACTCATGTTTATCTCAAGGAAATACCTTTTTAGAACAATATGCCTTTATCAGTCCTACATAGTGCCTTACATGTAGTAAGTGAATAACAAATAATTTATTTAGATCACATTCTGTTAAATTTTGTTTTGATTGCTGTCTTTGTTAGTTTCATATAAAATCTTAGGTTTCAAGAAGAATACAAGGTCAACATACAAAATCAACCATATTTCTATGTGCTGGCAATGAACAATTGGAAACCAAAATTAGAAACAAAACACCATTCCAATTTCTAAATATAAATCTACTAAAATATTTACTAATCTGTATGCTCAAAACTATGAAACAGTACAGAGCTGAATGCTTGGTATGTGTCATGCCCTCTCCCAAAAGATAGTTCTTTAGTTACAAATGTTGCCACTAATGGAACCTCTGAGAAAGGAACCATTACCACTTCACAAAACCATAGAGTAAAAAGATTCTATGGCAAAAATAAAATAATCATAATTTACTAGATATATATGTAATGAATTTTGCTACCTATCAGCTAATAAAAGTTAAAATACAAATGAAATTGCCAATAAAAATTAAATTACAAATTAGTAAAAATGTGTGCTACTCCTCTAATACAAATAGTATGTTTTCCAAACTGTTTTTCAAGACTTACGATTTCTTCCAAACTTTTATTAATACTGAAAAACTTTTTATAATGAAAACATGTTATGCCAAAGCAGTTTTAAGAAGGCAAAGTATTTATTACTTACAAAATTTATTTCCTTCAAATTAACTTTTGTAGTATGACAATTGCCCTTGAAAATGAAGGTATAGGTGATTTGTTCAGAAGGCAAGAATTTTTTTTAAAGTAATTTCCATGTTATATCTCTTGTAGAAATATTTAAAAAATAATGCATGGTTTAAAATCTTACCCAATGCCTAGCCTCAAAATTGAGAGTTAGAACTAAATATGAATGAAGTGTGTATCACAGTATAGAATTAGTTTCTCATAATAAGAGAAACACTTTACTTATAATTAAAGCATTCAAATTTAAAAACAGTTTAGTTCAAATTCCAAGGGCATCAGTGCATCATTGTCTTTTATATGACTGCTATCCCTGGTACTTCAAAAGTAAGTGTAATTGCTGACAACTAGGAAATATTAAAACTAGATTTGTTCTATTTTAACTATGTACGTCGTCATCTTTTACTAATTTAACAGGAAAGCACTAAAAGGGCTTCAGCCTTTGCAAGGAGGAGGCAATAGTGTTCAATCAGACAAGTCCCATATTGAGTATCAGATACCAAAGACCCACGACTGAAATCACTGAAATCACCGTGTCTAGACTCTCTGGCACCTGACTTCACTTATTTACCAGTGACCAGAGGCCAACCCCCACAGCTCTCTGCATTCACATACACCTCCTACCACCCCCACTCTCCTACCCAAACATCTTTGAATGATTATGCCAGAACTTTGCATGCCTCAGGAATCTCTTCTGACTGGCTACTCCCTAACTCTCCTGTTTGAAGTGATGCTCTGGTTTCTGAACTTCAGCAGATAATGGCAGGCAAGAGCAAAGGGGGCTGTCAGAAAGGACGTTTACCAGCATTCAGCTAAAAAGAAGCATGTAGATCAAAGAGGGGCCGGATAGGACAACGGTGGTGGAAAACATGTGGATAACCATGAAGACTCTTGCACACTGTTCTGGGATAACATATTAAATAACACCATGACATCACTACCTAACCACGTACTTTGATTGGCCATTGTATTACCAATAAATACTTTTATAAGCATCTGGATGGCATTTGCACCTATTTAAACAAAACATACATCTCAGAGGTCTAAATAACAATGAACTGTTAATGTGCACTTTTAACTATTATTAGAATACAACCATTAACTCCTGGTTATCCCAAGTATGCTTACCTGAAACAATCTACCCACTGAGACTATTAAGATCATGTATTTGACCTAGGCCCAAATATTGCAAAACAGTAACAAATACTGTAAGAAAATTAGAATCCATGGTATAATTAAAGGCAATAAAGTACAAAGAAAGCGAAGCGATATAATAGTGGAAGAGATTATGAGTCATGTTGTATGTATAATCACCTACTCTGGATGTTAAAATTATTTCCTAAAAGTGAATTCTAATCTAATTATAGGTTTATCCAATAAAACACACATAAGAAAGGTAGTATTTAAATTGGACTGTGAATGAGTTGAAAATGATGAGAAAGACTTGACATTTTACTGTAAATATCATACTTTTGTACAGTGATTTACAGTTTATAAACCCCTTTACATGTATAGATAAATAAGTCTAGGGATTTTATAAACTCAGTGTATGTACATATACACACACTCACATACATCACATACATATGCCTACATAACATGATGTAATTAAAGAATACATACTTCATATTCTCCTTTGTTATTTAAATGTATATGACACACTACCAAGCCATTGCTTCTCTACTTGCAAAGTTATTTTAGGGTTCTCTTTGAAAAATTCATGTGCAACAATTGAAGACCTCTACTAAACAAAAATTAATGTGCATAATTCAAAGAGAATAAAATACTACATTAATTCTCAGACATTACAATCTTGATATGACTTTGTTTAATAAACAGGTTAATTAGTTGCTGTCAGAAGAAAGTTTGTCTTATAAGTATTATAAACATTACCTCTGAAAATTTTTTTTTAATTCCTGAAGGAAACTTGAAAATTTCATTTAAATTCTGATATGCTTTATATTATTCTTTGAACCTGGCACTGGGTAGCAACATACATGTCAACCTTTCCCTAAATAGGTCAAAATTGGGCACCGTGAAGAACAGTTTAATGGTTGGATGACACTTTAGGAACAAATAGATCCTAGAATATCATTTGGCTTTCTCAAAATACTGCCTTATGTTAAAAAGCTTCAGGATGTTTACAATGTAATTTGGTACACATAAACTCATGATTCCTGTAAGAGTTGAAGTTAAGAAACAAAACAAAAACAAGGGAAAAAAAAACAACTAAAATTTTTGAACTCAGAATAAATTTTGGAAAATTTTGTTCATGAAATGTAGATCACAAATGTTCTGAAAACTCCATGGTTGAATTGTTTGTTGTTAGAAAACTGGCACGAAACACACAGGAATATTGTTCTTGAAAAATCATGGGAGAACTTTGTATATACAAAGTTTTAAACTGCAGTCAGAACAAGATAATCCAAACAGGCTCTTATTTTTGATCCATTCATTTAAAATAAAATTTTATAGCTTATATTGAGATTATACATTCTAGAACAGTAGGATAACTCTAAACTCAAAATTCAATGTCATAAGTTTTCTATTCCTTCCTGGTTTTCATTTATTTGTATTTTATTTAATATTCTCTTTAAAATCTAAATCTGTTTAAAATGGTCAATCTCTGCAAGAATATTACTCTCTTTTGGCTGCTTTCCAATTCATATCCTGTAGTCAATGAAGTTCTGACACTAAATGAGATGGAAAAAGGAACACCCTTTGAAACTGCAAAGCAGGAACCTTTACAACACATGGAGTGAGACCATAGTAAATCACCTGTAATCTCCCTTTGACATGGCTACTCTTTTATTGAAAAGTTGTTTGACAAAGAGTGTGACTATACTTTGCATTGGCTATAGTCTGGCACACGTTATCTCTACAAGAAGTCCTGCCTTGTTAGATAAGATATGCTGTATATTCTTTGAAGGATGTCTATTTCCTGTAAATAGTCAGAATTAGTTTATCCCCCAATATGAAAGGCTAAGAAGTTATCTTTGAAAGTTCAACAGTTTTTTAACCACATGTAATAGCAAATTCAATTTTAATACTACTTCTTTAATTTGGAATAAAGAATGGTCACTTAGAATAAATGAAAGGAGAGAGCAACATACATTTAATAATTCGTATTAGGATGACAAAGAATTATTTGGTAGGAGAATTAAAAGGAATTACTTCAGTAAGGCTGACTTAGTCATATTCTTTTTTTAAGAGTGTGTTATTTTTATCATACACATATCTTGCAATATCTTGCAATTTTGGCTTTTTTATTTTAGAAAACTTTTTTTTTTTAAAATTACAATATTAAAAAGCAGCCCAACCAGCATTCCAAGCATCAGATATTCAAAGTAGTAGAGCTTGGTTTACTAATGATTAATTGCACTATAGTGACTCCGTGATAAATTCCCTAAGACTATAATCACACAATGAACAAAATCTCTAACCTTATAACATAGTCTGTGTTAAAAAAATCACTGAACTCCTTCATGTCAAATAGACCTAACATATGAAATATATTAATCAACTGAGTCACTGGAAAGAACTTTTTTTTTTTATTGTTTTGTAGTTGTAGATGGACAGCATGCTTTTGTTTTGTTTATTTTTTGAAGTGGTGCTAAGGATTGAATCTAGTGCCTGACACATGCTAGGCAAGCGTTCTGCCACTGAGCTAGTCCTCAACCCCGGAAAGATCTTTTTTGAGAACACTGCTCTAAAATAAAAGAGTTCTGATAAAATATTTTTCCAGAGAATGCAAAGTATTTAAAACTATCAACTATAAACAAAGTTAAAAAGCAAGTGGCAAACTTGGGAAATATTTATAACATGTCAGTTAAAATAGTTACATACATATTGATCTTATTTATCAATTATAAAATATTAACATGCCAGTGGAAAATTGAATTATTTATAAATGAATATGGGATAATAAACAGATGAAAATGTTCAACTTCCCCGATATTCATGGAAATGCAAGTAAATGGAAATATTAAACACCATACAGAAGTAATAATAACCATTGTTGTTAAAAGTGAAATGCTTTGGAAACATATATTTATGCCTTCTTAGAAAGTAATTTGGTCAAAATGTGTCAAGGACACAAGTGTTTTTTTCTTGAACACAGTTGTTATACTTTTGGGCACTTTAAAGAAAAATTCAGAGATGTAGATAAACTATGACTATGATATTTTTTCCCTATTATTTTCATTTGCTTATTTATGTTTTGTGACAAATCTGAAAAAAATCTAAACATAATTTAGCAATATTTAAATTACAGTCATTAAGCAGAATATTATACAACTATCAGAAATAATTTTTTGAAGGTTGTTTAATGCCATGAGAGTCTATTTATTAAGTAAATAAAACAATACATGAAAATTATATATACTATATATAATTCTTCAATATTATTATTTTTAAGTATGTAGAAGACAATGTAGCAAAATGTTAAATAGCTATCTCTGGGATTTGGAAAAACAAAAAGTTATTTTCATTTTTATATAGTTCTGAACTTTTTTTTTTTTTTGGCAACAATAGGAATTGAACCCAGAGCTTTGTGCATGCTAGGAAAGAGCTCTACTGCTGAGCTATATTTTTAGCCCCAGTTCTGTACTTTTTAAGTATTCTATAACATGTAATTTATTAATAACAATAATTATAATTTTTTAAGTAAAAGGAAATCTAACAAGTCAAGAGAAGAAAGTAAAAAAAATATATTTCTTCAATGTTTTTCTTAAAATGTTAAGTTACTTACCTGTGGTATACAGTCAGTGTATGCAAACATTGACTTAAAGCGGTCATCCATGCTTATGTGATAAAGCACACACATTGCTATTTGTTTGTAGTTTTCATTGCCTAGAATTAAAAAACAATCATAGAACAGTAAGATATATATGTATATACACACATTCTATGCATACTCAGTGTATAAAAACAATTAAACTACTGAATAAAATCCTTAATCTTTTTTTAATTTTTAGTTTTAGATGGACACAATACCTTTATTTTATTTATTTATTTTTATGTGGTGCTGAGGATCAAACCCAGTGCCTCACACGTTTTAGGTGAGTGCTTTACTGCTGAGCCACAAACTCAGCCCCTCATATAATCTTAATCTTGAAAATATTTTGAACTTCCTATTTTAAATCTAAAGTTTGAAGCACTCATTTATCTGTGAGATGTCACTAAGTTTCAAGACAGAATTTCTATTTTACAAGGTATGTTTTTAGAAAAAACACTAACCAGAACCCGAAAATTTTCTTTTTTAGTAGCCCAGTATAAAGCAGAATGGGTTATTGGCCTCCCTACCATTACTGCCTTATCACAATATGGGATACATACAATTCCTCAACAGTGATGACATGTGAGAAACAGTAAACAAAAACATGCATATAATTACTATGAATCAGAAATTAGAAAAATCATCCAAATGAAGAAAGAAGTAGAAAGTATTTATAATAATGAAAAATTAAATGTAGGACTATAAAATGCTAAAAATTTAATCTAAGTAGAATCTAAGGAATGTCTCAGGACTTCTAAGGGAAGACTGTTCTGTGTTAGGGATATAGCTCAGTAGTGGAGAACTTGCACAGATGTAAAGTTAAAATCTAACAATATGAGAGGAGAGAGTAATATTTAAAATTTTAAGGTGAAGACAAGGAAGTCAATGGCTACAGAAAATGTAGTATATTTACTATTTAGGGGTGAGAATTTTATTTGAAAGGGATTATAACATAAAAAGTGTGAAATTCCTCCAAATTATATAAAAGTAGAGACAAAGTTGGTGTTACTGACCCTAATGTTTTATTCTTTAGAGCCTAGCTAAATAAAAGATTCACAGATTCTAATGTTATTTTTTTTTTTTGTATTGAGATTGAACCCAGCAGTGTTTTACCACTGAGCTATATCCCCATCTCATTTTATTTTATTTTTTCAGACAGGATCTCACCAAGTTACTGATGCTAGCTTGAATTTGGAGTTCTCTTGCTTTAGTTGTCAGGTCACCAGGATTACAGGGATGCACTACTGTGTCCCGCAATGTCAGATTTTAATAAATTACATTTTTAGGGGCTGGGTTGTGGCTCAGCGGTAGAGCGCTTGCCTCACATTTGCAAGGCCCTGGGGTCGTTCCTCAGCACCACATAAAAATAAATAAAGTTATTGTGTCCAACTACAACTAAAAACAAATATTTTTTAAAAAATTACATTTTTATACTTTTGAAGGCCTTCATTTACAATTATTTTAGAGCTATAAAGTACGCTTGCCAGAGGAAAATATATTTACACAGATTTTCATGAATATGCAGATGAATAATGAAAATGGTCCAACTTTGCTCCTAAGGAGGCAGACAGCCCTTGGGTTCTGGTTTGCATTTCACAAAATTTAGCCTCTTCCAGATTAAGGTATGGTAAAGTATTTTTAAATGGGGTCTTCAAGAAGACTTATATTCTGAAGGCCAGTCTCTCTTCCTGACATTTCAATGATTTTCTATCTTTTATTCATCTGTAAGTTCTAGTCCTACTTAATTTTTTACAAAATATTTTCTGAAGATATTTTATGTAATGGGTTCATTGAAAAGTAGGATTCCAAGTAATGTAGTGGTAAAGGAAACAAAGAGAAATCAATAACCAATACTAAAGATTCTTTCAGGGGCTGGGCTATAGCTCAGTGGTGGAGCGCTGACCTGGAGTGCTGACCTTGCACGCACGAGGCACTGGGTTCAATCCTCAGCACCACATAATAAATAAATAAAGATATTGTATCCATCTACAGCTAAATATATATTTATATTTACACACACACACACACACACACACACACACACACACACACACACACATATATATTTTTAAGATTCTTTAACATCCAACCAAACCATCAAACTTTAAAATTCCCTGTGGAACTATTTAAGAAATAAGAAGTAACTATGCTCCAGGAGGCTATGTCAGTTGCTAATGCCAATAAAAAATTTTAAAAAAGCAATGTCCTTCATGTAAGGCAAGAGAAAATGAAGACTCTCTTTTAAGAGACATGTGTCAAGTTGATAAATAACAGTTCTTGGACATAACAACAATTTATATTACTTTTACACAGTAAATCTAAATGTCTACTTGCAAAAAATAGTATAATTCATTCTATAGCCAATCCTAATTCTGTGCTTATTGTGTGCTTTCTCTTTCTCCTTTTCCTTTCACACTCACAGTCAAAGATTAAACCTCCTAGCAAGTTCTCCCTTACTTTCCTAATTCTTCACCATCTATGATCCTCTATTAAACAACAACTGCAACAATAATAACTCTGAACATGTACCCAGTTGATTAAAATCTTCCCCTAAAAAAAAAGTTTGCTGAAAACTAAAGAAATGAAGGCAGCAAGAGGTTAAGGACACAAGGTATGGATAATACTTGTAACATCAAAAATTTTTTGAGAGATAGGAAAAGAGAAAGGATTAAACAAACAATGGCATTATTGCTGTTGCATGCTCAGCATACAATGGAAGAGGTAGGTATTCTCTGATTTAGAGACAAGGCAATGGCATTCAAGTTATGACTCTTTCAAAAGAAAACAAGCTGTGAACCTGGGATTCAGACAGAGGTCTGACTAAAGCGCAAATAGTATGTACTTTCCATTAAGGCTTCCAGGAGATAGCCAAATAAATATGTTATCATCATCATTCCTAAGGATACAGTACAAGAAATAGATACCCCTATAAGGCACTGTAGGACCCAATGGCTCTGGGATTCTGTGGAAGAGAGTGAGAAGACTGGTAGTCGAGGAAATGAAATGCAGACATGAAATCAGATATTTCTCAGGGAACCTGTGTCTAGATACAGAAGGTTTGAAAGGATGAAGGAAGTTCCTGACAGGGACAAATTGCTCTAGAGGTGGACTATTTGGATTAAATTTGTGGCTCTGCCCCTCAACAGCTATCTGGCATTGTCAACATTATTTAAATTCTGTGCTTTAGTTTCTTCATCTGTAAAAATGGAATAACAGGGCTGGTGTTGTGGCTCAGTGGTAGAACGCTTGCCTAGCACACCTGAGGCACTGGGTTCGATCCCTAGCACCACATAAGAAAACTAAATAAACAAAATAAAGGTATGTGTCCATCTACAAATAAAAATATTTTTTAAAAATGGGATAACAATTTATCTAACTTGAAAGATTGTTACGTAAGGATTGTTAATTGGCAAGGCAATTAGCAAAAAGTCTGACACATACTAACCAATTCAATAAACATGCTTTCTTATTATCATTATGTCAACAATAACATTTTTATGTTTCACCTAGGGAGCAGTACTGTCATTGTTCCTAATATGTTTGCTGCTTTGTTTTTCTATACTAAAATTATAGGTAGAAGTAAAGTAGGTTGAGAGGTAACTAAAGTTTCTGAGATGAGCTAGACAGAATTCTAACGTACACTCCAAGCCTATGACTGACCATTTTTCTACCTAGTTATTTTCCTACAAAACTCTGCAATTTCTTTTAAAAATATTTTTCTTTTATTAGTGCATTATAGTTATATATAGTAGTTGGGTTCATTATGACAAAATCATACACGCATGGAAATTCATTTACTTCATTTCAGTCCCTAGTGGCCGGCACCCACTTGTCCTCTCTTCCTCCCTCCCCCTATTCTCCTTCCTCTACACTACTGTTTTTTGTTTTTATTTATTTTTTTATTCTTGATTGGTTAAAGCTCTGCTATTTCTAAGCTAAGTCCTTGGAGAATCATTTTACACTTGAGGCTCCACTCAGTGACTTATAACTAGTAAGAAATCGTTGTCTTTTTCTCATTCTCATAAATTTCTTAATGAACAAAAAAATTGAGAAAAGAAATAAGCTCCCTTGTTGCCCTCCACATAACATTATGAATCTCTCCTTCTCTTTTCAATCTTCCTTATCTGTATTGGAACTTAATTTCACTCCTAGAGTGGACAATGGTCATGGTAGTAATGGGTAGTAATGTCCAAGTAGATGAAAGGACACAGAATTCTAAGAACACTGAAGACAGAACTCACAACTACCTACCCTGTTTCATTTACCTTTAAACGGCATATCCCAGGCAAATAAAATCTTGATGAACAGAGGTATTTTTTCTCAATTTTGGGCTAAGCACAACTGAATGAAAGAAACTGAAATACAACTAGTGCTGCACCAATTTTTTTTTTCTTGAGGAAAGTATAGAGAAGGAGGTGATGACAGATCTAAGGGACTATGATATTGTGGTATTCAGAGGTTTATCTAACCCAAGTTGCTGATGCATGTCCTAGAGTTTATCTGGGTAAATATTCTCTTAAAATTCAAACACCTGATTAACAAGTACCTATAAAATTAATTTTCCCCTTTTTGTATTTACTTAGTGAATGAAAAAAAAAAGATACAAACTGACATCTGCCTTTTCATTCCAAAAAATATGTATATAGGGCTGGGGTTGCAGCTCAGTGGTAGAACGCTTCCCTAGCATGTGTGAGACACTGGGTTCAATTCTCAGCACCACATATAAATAAATATATAAAAGGTCCATTGGCAACTAAAAATATATATTAAAAATATGTAAATATTTCACAATTGTTTCTGTTACCTATATTACCTTGCTGATTCTATTTTATAACCCACTGTTATATATTATACATTTCTTTTCTCCACTAAGGAACTGCAATATATGAGTGAAGACAGTAGTTTATAAACCACAGGTTTCTTATTCATTATGCCATAAATTATTATATAAATGATAATTCCTTGAAAAAAATGCAGCCTTTTAACTATATAGCATCTAATAGATAGCTGACAGCTACAAGAACAAAGCAATTTAGGATAAAAATGAGTATGTGGAGTGGGAAGATGTCTGGGA